TTAGGAAACTTATCTCACTGGGAGTCTGGCCTGTCTGGGTCCCCTGCCAGCACCAGGCTGCCCCTTAACAGAGATAGTGAGAAAAAAGACTTATATTTAGAACTGTAAACTTCAATATTTTTTAAATCCAGTATGTTAAGAAATCATACATATACTAGCTCTAAAAAAATCCCTGAAAAAATGTTAAAAAGTGATATTTTGAAAAAGTACTGCTATGGCAGGATTGGAATTTTCCTACTTGTTTCTGAAATCTAGCGACTGCAATAAAATTTTTAATACACATGAAATTTTGCGTCCTGATTGTGCGCTTTTGTTAACAATTAGATAGGATGCAATTCATCTGGTGCACCAAGGTGCAGAAAGTGTTTAAATATCGAAAGATATTTGGGGACACATCTGCAGCAAAATTTATGCCTTCTGGAGATCTTGCCGACACATTTGGATTGAAACTATTGCATATGAGAAATAACTTCAAAATTACTAGAAATCTGAAAGACCATAGGTACGTGCACACAGTATGGTTTCTGGTATGCTGGAAGGATCAGGATGCAGTGAAGCTTGTCTGGAAATCAGTTGCATTGTGTGTAAGTGTTGTGGTGCGTGGATAGTAAGGGATATACCATCAAAGTTGCTTGCAGCACTTTATCAAAAATTACCCAGTGATGGATCTTGAAAATAGCTAGCAACGTTTTGGCTAAAAACAAACCATATCTTGGTGACGCTGCTTGCACCCTCTGCACCCTGGATCTGGCAGAAATCTAGCATTTCTGAAAAGGGAATATCGAAAGATTATTGGCAATGCATCAGCAGCAAAATTTATGCCTTCAGAAGATCTTGCCAACACATTTGGATTTAAATTATTGCCTTTTAGAAATAACTTTGAAATTATTGGAAATCTGGAAGACCACAAGCGCATACAGTAAGGTTTCCGGTACATTGGATGGATCAGGGTGCAGAGAAGCTTGTCCAGGAATCAGTTTCAATGATGCAGTGCGTGGAGAGTAAGAGATATACTATCAAAGTTTTAGCAGCATTTTCTTATTAAAAATTACCTGGCGACGGATCTTGAAAATGGCTGGCAATGCTTTGGGCTAAAAATCCATCTATTGGTGATGCTGCTTGCACCCTCTGCACCCTTGCTAGTTGTGGCCCTGAAGGCAGAGGTTTTCCATGCTTGTGCCATGATCTGCATTAAAAAAATATTTGCTGTACCGGTATTAAAAAATTCGGCTTGAAAAAAAGTTGCCGACGGGTGTCAGCTATAGCTTTAAAACTTTATTGACAGAACTTTCATACCTCAATCCAGAACAAAGTGGTGGTCAAAGGTCATTTTGGTATGACAGGGTAATGAGGATTACTTATCTGGCCTAATCTGGGTTAATACAGGTTACGGGACACCCCTAAAAATGCATTTACATTAGAACCGTGGTTAGCAAAGGCTCCAGTTAACAAAAAAATATATCAATAACCAAAAATTTTATTACATTTACCTAGCTTAGCAGAAAAAAATTCACGATATAAAAATTAATGTATTATTGATAATTACCAAATAGTTCACCAGGCAACATAGAATGAAAAGTAATTAACCTAAACTATGATTCCCTTCTCCAAAATATGATGGTTGTTGATAAAATATTCCTTTCTGTTTCAAGTATGTTTATATGATTTTTTTGTTAGAATGAATTCACTTGACCCAATTAAAATAGGTGCAAAATTACAAGCCCAGTCCTGTAAGCTTACAGATACAGAAGAAATGCTAGTCCATCAGCTTGCTGCAGGGTTGCCAGTCATAGTATAGTATAGTATCTTCGGCATTTAAAGAATAGGCCTGGATAGGCCTGTCGCCGATTCTTGTACTTTTCTTGACTAGACTGGCCTTTTGATCAGATCTTTTCAACGGACGGTTGATTTGAAATAGCTTCTATATATCAGTTGTTCCGTAGGGTACGAGGCATTTTAAGACTAAACATATGCTCATGCATGACCTTGTCTAGTCTGTTCTTGAACGCGTTCATACTCGGAGCGTCATGACAGGGCGGCCTCGTGGTTACAGCCAGGATTGCAGAAGAGAGGCACTTAAGCGAAGCAAAATTGGAGCAGCGAGTTACGTGATCGAGATCTTGACAAGCTGTGAGAATATGCGATGTTAAGAGCAGGTGGCAGGCCTACGGGCTACGGCCATACAAACGCTGAAATCGCTATTGTTTTCATAAAACGCATGAACGTTCCTCCGTAAAGTTAGAACAAAATCGGACTTCTAGTGTACAGACAGCATTAAATGCAAGGAAATTGTTGCCGATGGCATTCCTCATCGTCAAAGACTCGACCAAACTGACCTCGTGATGCCGAATGTTTGTGCCGGCGGTTGTGCTGCAGGGGCGACTCGCTTAATTGTTAAACATCGTTAAAATTGTTGAATAAATAGTTGAATTATATGTACTTGGGTGGCCCACATCATTGATTAATATGCTCATCTTGGCTTAAAAAAGTTTAATTTGTATGACAGACGTCGGGCAAAGTACTCTGCCGCCAGATCCGTGGCTCATATATGAATGGAGATCTTGTCTAAAGATAATTGAAACCACTTGAACAGAAATATTTAGTAAATATCTGAACATACGTGAACAGGTTGCTATCAATGCTATCTGTTTGGCTGTAAATGAAAGGAGAGCTGATGAGCAGTCACGACCAGACCCACGATCAAATTGTATCGTGCTGCTCCCATCAATGAACTATTTGTATGCAAATTAACTTAAAGTTTATATTTCCAGGTTCAATATAGTCAAATATATTCACTTATACTAATGCCTCTAAATCTAAGGAAGCAACCAGATGCGTGTCCGGCTATAGGCCGACTTCAACAACACAAGTGAAGACTTAGGCGCGACCGGCAGAAGTCGGCTACGCCGCTGCATAAGGTCACGTCACATACACACGAGTTGCATCGTTTTAGACTTACACTCTGCGTGGATGAAGTGTTATTATGTTTTCAATTAAAATGTCACAAGCGAAATTTGCGGCAGACGATGTAAGTCACGAATTAAGTTAGACTTTAGCGCGTAGTCTTGGGAGTTCATTGATAGAAGTTACACAATAAGTTTTTTGCTCGTTTAAATATAATTTAGTTCAGTATTCATTGATAATTATAATTACCCTGACGTTGTGTCATTAAAATTAGGCAGCGACTTGAGTAGAGCAAAGCTGCCTGGAGGTGAAGAAATGTAGCCTATGTTGCTTGCTCACTGAAAGAAAACATGTTGGGCGTATGTATGTAAGGCACGCATAAAATGTTTAATGTAGAAATAGGTGGGTGTTTACGTTCATTTTTCTTATTTCCATTCATGCTGTAATGCAAGCACTAATGTGATAAGCTAGTAATCATTTACACAGCCATGCTTTTTGCAATTAAACATCGTACGTGCTCCTATAACTTGCACATGTCTAACTCTGCACGAGTTACGATCTGTGAGCAGGCATCGGTATCACACGGCTGCTATTTTCAAAAATAAATTGATGATCACTGGCACCCTTTCGTCCAGCAGGCGAGTCCAATTATTCAAGGTAGACAGGAGATTAGTGGTGTATGATCTGCCAGCAATAAAGCCATGCTGACAGTCTGATAGAAAATGGTTAACAGTCAAGTGATCTATAATCCTATCCCTCATAACCGATTCCATCACCTTACGCACAACACTTGTGAGACTTACAGGACTGTAGTTACCTGGGTTACTCCTGTCACCTTTTTTGAACAGGGGTGTCACTTGGGCTTTTTTCCAATCGGCCGGCAAAGTCCCTTCGATTAAGGTTTTTCGAAAGAATACTCTTAAAGGGCCGGCCAGGACGGTTGCTAATTCGTTGAGCAATCTAGGGTGGAAACCGTCTGATCCAGATGACTTGTTTGGATTCAGGGAGACCCTTGCGCTTGAGAACCTCCTCTTCACGTATCTCAAAACTAGTTAACTTCGAGTCCACTGGTCGCTCCTCAATAGCTGGAATACTGTTCAAGTCCTCATTTGTGAAGACGCTGCTAAAGAACTGATTTAGAACATTGGCCTTACCATCGTCAGAAGATATCTTCCGTTGATTTACATTCAAATCAGCAATACCGTCCCTTGCCTTACACTTCGAACTAGCATACAAGAAGAAGGCTTTCGGGTTCTTTTTTGAGTTTTTGGCAACGTCTTTTTCAAAATTTTTGACTGCGGTGCGACAAGCTTTTTTAGCTTGATTTCGAGCTCTGGCATACAGGTTATAATCAGACTCACTGCGAGTTCGTAAATAACGCTTGTAGGCTTCCTTCTTTTCTTTTAGCTTTGCTTTAACCGTATTATTCATCCACTGTGTTTTTCTGACTCCACCGAGCTTTATCTTAGGTACACACGCATCAACTGCAGACATAACTATGATCTTGATGAATGACCAAGACTCTGCCACATTCATGTTCATGATACAGTCCGAAATGTTCGCTGCACTCACTGATTCACGAAGTTTAACATTGTCGCCTTTCGCAAAGTTGAAACGTTCACGCTTCCGAGGCGTCTTTTCTGTATAGCACTTAATACTGAAAAACAATGACTGGTGGTGAATTTTGCCCAAGTGAGCCTCGTGTAGTGGCTTTGTGTGTAGTGTAGCCTCGTGTAGTGGCACATAGTGTAGTGGCTTTGATTTGACTTTGTCTGCTTATGTTTGGGTTTGATCATATCTTATTATTTTGACATGATTTATACTCCTGTTGCATGTGCCTGCAGTTAGTAATTGTAGATTTAATAGAACACTTCCCCTTTGTTTGTGATTAATATGATTTTGGTCAGCAGGTATCAAGAATGCATGCCTGTTGTATTGCTTGCATGTCTGTGCTGGCTTTGCTTTGTGTACTTTCTGGCAGTGGCAATTACCATAATTACCACCACTCCATAATTGGAGTGATAAGTACTTGAACTGATGGACCAACTTCCTTGTGTCTTCCTTTTGAATATGTGAACAGAAGAACAAAGCTGAAAGATAGAAGATTAATTATGTTATATGTAATTAACTATAGATAAGTGAGGGTTCAACAAGTGATCAACTTGTGACTTCATTTCCAACCTAGCACAAATAATAATAATAATTGATTGGCAGAATATCAATGAACTTTGAAAATTTTGACATGCAGGACTGCATGATCATAACCAAAGCTGTGAAGTCAAGAAGTGCTGAGAATGTGGAGGTAAGTAAAAATTTGTTTTGCCATTTTTCTGTGTTATCTTGTATTTCCAGGGAAATGTTTTTAAATTAAATTTTATGGAATTAAAATTTTTAAAATGAAAGTAGCCTTCTGAGTGGAAAATATCTCCTTCTGATACAAATTGAAAATTATTTTTAATCAATATAAAATGCTTTTATACAATTTAAAGAGCCAAAAGAGTTCCACAATGAAAATTAAATTTTTGAAAAAAATTAAATTTTGAATATTGATTGTATGGCCATTATTTAGGTAGAAATTTCAGAAATAGGAATTGTGGTTAATATATTCAACATTAATCAGTTGTGTCACTAGCTTGATCCGTGAATATCAGTTGGCCTATCAAAGAAAAGTTTAATTTCAGATATTCCAATATAATATAGGTGCTGTTCCTATATAACCCATCTCAAATTTCTCTAAGAATTCTGCCCCAATTATTCTGTAAGGCCTTTTTGGTTAAAATATTTGCATCTTTCAAGCTTTCAAGCATGACATCTCAACCTTGAATTGGCAACATATGTGCACCGTCAAACGGGATAATACAGGGACGGTTTTGAGCATTTTTCATTAATAACTCCTTACCATGAAACATTTCCTAAACAAGTTTGGGCTCATTTTAAAGCTCTTTGCAAGGGCTATCTAATGGCATCTAACAAATTTTTTAAAGCTTTGCTAATTCTTATAAGGCTATAAGTAGTCTTTAACTAACTATTTGACTATTTGTTATATATTAATTACATTATACAATTTCATGTGTTAGCTAGCTTATATAAGAAGGGTTGGTTGAGATGGTATTGACCTTTTAGGCATTTAGAAAGATTTTCCACTCTAATATGAGTACCTATTCTAATTAAAATAGTTAATTTCAATCTTTAAATATGTGAATTTATAACTAGAAACAAAACAATAACAATTATAAAACTATATTAAAATAATTAAATGCAGTCAATGGAAATAAAATGTTTGAATTGTGTACATGTTTAATTCAAATAGTGTTAGGTTTTCTCATAACATACACAACTTTCATTTCAAGTTTGAGGTTTGTTTGGTTGTCGTTCAGTTTATGTTTAGTATTGGTTAATTGTTTTGAATCAAATGAGAACAGTGCAGTCAGTCACTAGGTACTAGTCGGTGTGTTTAGAGGGTAGAGTCTGGTAGATTTATAGGACATAAAACTAGTAGGTATATTGATAGTGTTGTGCTCTGTGCTACGTATCAGCTACCTATCAGTTATGTGACTCTTTAATGTTTAGAAGATCCAATTTCCTGAAGTGGGGTTGTATATTGAAGCCAGTTAAAGGGTCAATATTTAGCTCGTTTCCTTGCTCCATACAAACTTTAAAAAGCTAATGAATAGACTTATCAATAATAGTTTACCCGAAAGTGCCAAAGTGGTAAACACCACCTTGGCCATTCTTGAAGGCAATAACTGCCCTTTTTTGCCATCCGTATACTGTTATTGTTAGTAGGCTAATTGCAACATAAAAAATAAGATTTCATAAAGACAAAAAAGCAGAAAATGCTTTAAAAAATAAAAAAATCATGAAAAAATGAAAAATTATTGATTATTGTTTTTTACTTAGAAAGATTTTCCTTTCTTTTCATTTAAATAAATCTAAAAATCACTAACCCTGATTCATAAGGTGCAAGATGCAAAAGAAAAGTGTTTTGAATTACCCCTGGGAATGGGGTAACCTGGGACATGTGAAATAAAATTAAAATTTAAAACATTTGAAACATGCAATGTGTACTCATCTATTACTAACAGTACTCTTGTTAGTAATAGTAATCTTGTTAGTAAGTTTTACTTGTTTTTAATTTATTAATATGATATTACCAGATCCTTACATTATCATATTATTTATGTGATATTACCATATCCTTGGACATGACATTGTGCATTTACAATGACCTTGTCCACTGCAAGCTTCATATCAGCAGCCATGTAGCATTTATTTTGTATCTGTAAGCTAACAGGATGGCTTGTAATTTCACACCCTATTAATTGGGTCAAGTGAACTCACCATAGCAAAAAAATATAACTCAGTACTCTTTACAGTGAGTGACAGAGAGCGCATTTTCTCATCAACAAAAACATGAAGTCACGGATGGACAGACAGACAAACAGACAGATGGACATGGCGAGCACAATAGTGCATTTGTTTCAATAATGAGAAAATGCTCTAAAAAGATCATATAATCATGCCTGAAACAGAAAGGAATATTTTAATGACAACCAGAATATTTTTGGAGAAATAAATCATAGTTTAGGACTTTAGGTTAATTACTTTTCATTCTATGTTGCCCAGTGCATAATTCTATCTATGACATTCTATGAGCAATTTTGTGATGACCGATGATGCATTAGTTTTTCCTTTAATAAAATTATTTTACTGAGCAAGGTAAATGTAAGCAAAATATATGGTTGTTAATTGATTTTTGGTTAACTGGAGCCTTTGATAGCTGAGGTTCTACTGTAAATGCATTTTTAGGGGTGTCCCTTATTACCTCGTCATGCGGAAATGGTCGCCATTTTTTCTGGAATGAGATATGCAAATTCTGTCACACGTTTTTTAGCCAACACCTGTGTGCAACTTTTATGTATGTAAAATTTATTAATAGGGGCGAATATTTTTTTTTTACTACAGACCTTAGCAGAAGTACTTTTACAAAATCTCACTTATTACACTTTTTTCAGGGATTTTTTGAGGTAGTAAATGTATGATTTCTTAATTTGCTTTATGCTACATAGATAGTAAAAATGTTGAACTTTACACAACTATTTTTAGTTTTGATACATTTTGATTAGTTCAGCTGCTATCACATTTCTATGAAATGCGGGACGACTGTGCTGATTTACCCCCTTTGGCGGTAGCTTTAGGTCAGATCATACACTGATTGCGCCACATAGATCAGAAACCCTGTTCTGTGTTGATTGGTAACTGAGGTGTAATTTTAGAAATAAAGGACCACGTAGCTACACAAGAGGCCCCATTACCTGCAGCACACTGTAGAGAGACAAGAACAACAGAACAGTGGAGGACGCTCAAAAATTCTAATTGCCTCTGATGTGACATGAGATTTCTTTCTGATTAGAAAAGAAATTTGGCTTTGATTAACATTAAAAATTAAAGTATTTATCAAAATTAGAGAAAAGTATCATTCATGTTATGATGAATGAGTCATGTCCTATAATTTCCAATTACAAATCAAAATATTCTTTAGCAAAACTTTGGGGTTAAACAATTATTGCAAAACCATAACAACATTGTAAACTAATCAAAGTGATTTTTTATATTTTCACTGGTCAAATTATCTTACTCATATGCAATCATATTATCTTGTCAGTTCATTTTTTTTCTTTATGAGTGTTGGCTGATTTGATGCTGCTTATTAAGGTTAAAGAATATGTTCCTTAAATTACTAGTTAGATATAGGCACAGGGCAGGGCTACTCTCATCTCCATCTCTACACTAAGTTTTTCACATCTTTAAATTGAAACAAAAATAGTTTTTTGGGGATATCGGACCAGACAGACAGGGCTTTTAGATTGAAACATATGCATTTGGTCGATTGGAAACAACTTTTTTAAATTTGCTATCTGACTATGTTTTTTGCGCAATTTCTCATTTATGGAGAAAAGGTGCTATTAGGCTTGTCATGTCTGTCCGTCCATCCATGACTTCACAGACGGACGAGAACGTTTGCTCTCTGTAACTCACTGCAGTGAGTACCACTGATCTAATTTTTTCTATGTGATTACCTGCCAAATGCCTTCACTTTAAAGGATTTAAAAAACCATTGATATAGGGGGTGCAAAGCCATTGAACATTGCAAAAAATATAACTGAGTACTCACTGCAGTGAGTGACAGAGAGTGCATTTTCTTGTCGACGAAAACATGAAGTCGCGGATGGACAGACCGACGGACATGGCGAGCACAATAGTGCATTTTTTTATAAAAGAGAAAATGTGCTAAAAACATAAATTTTAGCTCAATTTTGCTCTTAACATTAAATTTCTGAAAGTTAAGCTGTATTATTAAGCTGATACTGTGCCTAAATATTTAACTATCAATTATACATCATCAAACAAAATTTAGCACAAATCAATTGATGCTATTTGGTTCTTTTAGCCTCATTTGCAAGTTAACCGATGCACGATTCTCTGCCTACGCACTATTATAGGTTGACCAGAGGATTTTATTATTGCATGTGTCTCTGTAGGTCTGTAGGTTATTTTGTTGACTCTATTATTAACTTTAGGATTACTGTCAAACAGGGTAATAAGGGACGGGCGGGTAATAAGGGACAGTCCTCAAACATTTTGTAGAAATTTTTTAGCAGCTAAACTAATTAAAATATTGCAAAACTAAAAATAGTGGCATAAAGTTTAATATTTTTCCTAGCTATGTAACATAAAGCAAGTTGAGAAATCATACATTTACTACATCCAAAAAATCCCTGAAAAAAAGTGTGAAAAGTTTGATTTTCAAAAGTACTTCTGCTAAGGTCTGTAGCCAAAAAAATATTTGCTTTATTAAAATTTTGCTTACATAAAAGTTGCAAATGGGTGTTGGCTTAAAAAATTGATTGACAGAATGTTCATAGCTCATTAAAAAAAATGGCGGCCATTTCCGCATGATGGGATAATAAGGGACACCCCCTGGGGACACCCCAAAAACACATTTAAAGTAGAACCTTGTTTAGCAAAGGCTCCAGTTAACAAAAAATCAATTAACAATAATGAATTTTGATTACATTTACCTTGCTCAGTGAAAAAAATTTAACTCAATAGTCAACAAAGAATTAATGCATCATCGGTCATCACAAAATTGTTCATAGAATGTCATAGATAGAATTGTTCACTGGGCAACATAGAATAAAAAGTAATTAACCTAAACTATGATTTTTTCTAAAAAATATAATGGTTGTCACTATAATATTTCTTTGCTGTTTCAGGTATGTTTTATACAATTTTTTTTGTTATAGTGAATTCACTTGTCTCAATTAAAATGGTGCGAAATTACAAGCCACTCTGTAAGCCTAGCTACAGAAGAAATGCCATATGGCTGCTAATACAATGCTTGCAGTGGACAAGGTTGTTGTCAATGTTCAGTGACATGTCCATGGATTAGGTAATATCACATCAATAATATGGTAATGTATGGATAAGGTAAAATCATATCAATAAAGGAAAAGCAAGTCAAAATAACAGAAAATGTCATTTATTCTGCATCTACATCATCTACAAAGGAAGAGGAAGACTTCAGAGTACTGTTAGTAATAGGTAAGTACACTCTGCATGCGTCAGATGTTTTAAAATTGATATTTATTTCAAGTGTCCCTTATTACCCCATTCCCAGGGTTAGTTCCAGAGGCTTTTATTTTTCGTCTGGCACCTTACAAATAGCATATGGAATTTTTTCAGAGATTCCATGAAATAGCCCTTGCAAATACCTTTAAAATGAGCCCAAATTTGTTTATGAAATGTTTCATGGTAAGAAGTTATTAACAAAAAACGCTTAGAACCGTCCTTTATTACCCCGTTTGACGATACCTTTTAACTACTAGCTAAAATCTCTTACAGTTGACCTTGGTCATCCATTTTTGTTTTTGTCATGAAGTTTATGTAGGAAGCCTCAACATCCAGTTTATCTTGATTGTTGTGACTAAACTTGTTTTTGCTGCTAGAAAGTGCTTAGGCATTATCTATATTCAGCGTGGGATGGTGTGAATAACCTGTTCTTCCATAACTCATAGTCATAGACTTTGGCTACTTGGCTTCACTAAGCTTATAAGTGAATTGGCAACCTTGTATGAGGTATATTTGGTCACTGGTGCTCTGGCTATGGTGTGTGATCCAGACTAACAAGTGTGTCTAATTCAGATCGTTGGTTTGCTAATAACCAGTTTTTTGTATCAACTTATGCCATTTTAATTTTGTTCCTAAAAGTGTTGGTGTTTTCCCTCTTTCATTCTTTCCTGAATATGACTTTTTCAGATTATATTCAGTGATAGTTTAGTCATTAAGTTGCAAGTTAGCTACAGTCTTGCAAACTGTGCAAGTTTACCAGGAGCTGCTTCATGTTTTGAGACCATGTTGGACAGAAAAATACATTGAGCCAGTTATTATAGCTTCTGGCAACACCTGTAATTTTTTGTTGCAGAAAGTCATAGCCTCTCTGTTGAGTCATGGGCATGACATCACTCAACACCTCTGCACACCTGATCAACAGGGCTACTCTGCTCTTCATTATGCTGTTTTGTACAAGGATCTTGCAATGGTGAAGAGACTTCTCATGCATGCAGGTAATTGAGTTATAATTTATCTATTCATTATTGTTTGTGCAAAGATTGAACTGAAAATAGTAAAGGGAGAACTTGAAGTCTTACAGGATTCTGAAGCCTAAGTAGAAAATGGAAGTTTGGTCCAGCCTGTACAAAACGCTGGCTCTAATGGTATGCCTAGCACTTCAGTAGCTTGTGGGTAATTCATTGATGATGTTTTGGGGTTCATTTACTTCTTCATGAAGTAAACTATTTATTTTTTGTCAATTATAGGATGACCAATGCTTTGGTTGAGATTCCCAATTCCAATAAGAAAATGTACTGCTTATTGTATAGCTGCTTACCTTTATGCTCTGTTGTTGTTGGTTAATGATGTTACAGTTTCTTTGAAATTTCTTTATGCTGCCTATAACTACTTTAGATCAAACTGAAAAATTTCTGCTTCAGCCATGAATTGTTTTCCAGTAATATTAAAGCTGCTAGTATCACATATTGGATTTTTCATTATTAATTAAAAATATAATTGTCAGTGCTACTCTTTTGGAGAAGAATTTCTAAGTTAATTATTTCAAGCCCAATTTACTAAAATTTGAACTTGTCAACTAAAATTTATCTTTCAAATTGGGACTTTCATTGCCATTTGCTTTTTTTGCAATTTTGTAGCTGTTCTTCAGAGACTCTACTTCTGTTCTAAACCTTCTAGACGATAATCTGCAGCATACTTTAGCTCCTTGTAATGCCCATGAGGTTTTTCGTTCTAGTAACATTTTTCCTGACCATGCCACCCCTCAGCTCTTAGTAGTGGCTTAGTACTTTCTTAACCAAGTGCAAGTTACAGATGAGTTGTTTCAAGTTGTTTGCAGTTGGCAGTTCCTTGCACTTCCTTTCAATGTCTTTCTTGGGTTGGAGATTTAAGTATGTGTGGGGTGTCAATGAAGGCATTAGATATTAACAGGATAAAACTACCCCTTGTAGAGGTGGAATTAGTTTTGTTACTGTTCCATTCATTTTTAGTTAGGCAATTCTTATAAATTCTAATGCTTTATTCACTGCCCATTGTATTCTGATGTTGATATTGTTAAATTATTTCTTCTTTAGTTGTCAGTCATTATTGTTTAATGTTCATTGCAGATAAAAGGTGCATAAACTTGGAGAGTCATGATCGATCCACTGCTCTGCTGCTTCTCTGTAGAAACTGCTCAGCCTCAGACCTGGAGGTGACTAGCATGGGTCTTGAAATGTTTCTTATGCTTTTAATTCAGCCTGCCTACAACTAAACGTGAAACAGACCAAACTCTGAAGAGGATTTTCATGTGCATGATCCTGATTATAAGAATTAAAAACTTGCTGAATTTTTATATTAACTGGTTGTTTTTGTGCAGTCTGAATAAAAATATCCACACTTTTACTAGTCAGGTCACTACAGCATCTCTATGATGTCCAAAACTTTGTCTAAAACTGCTTATTTTTGTTGGCTCCTAATTTTGCTATTAAGTTGCTGAATTATATTTTTCTGTATAAGAATTATAATAACAGTTATTTCTTATCGTTTTGTCTTGATCCTTCATTTTAAATTCACTCCACTAAATTTTTATTTGTTCAGGAAGAAATATTGGCGAGCCTTCTACATGCTGGGGCAAATCCCAACCTGCCTGGAAAAGATCCATTTTCTCTGCCCTTATTGTGCGGTATGTCACCTTAATAATTGCTCCAGCTTTAGTTAGGAATGCATTTAAGGAGTTGTTATCATTATATTAAATACAATATATATAGGAAATTCTTGATATTTTAGCATGGTGAGAACTGTGCTAAAATCTGCCTAATGATCAGATTAATGAGAACAAAATTAGGTAGACGAGTCTCATCTTGAAGATGCGACTTATTTCTATTTCTCGAACTGTGCTTAAAACTGTATTGGAAATCATTCAACTATGCTTGCCTTGTGCCCCTTTTTTAGGACAAGTAAGAATTAGAGCAGAACTTTGCGTTCGATAGTGAAAACAGCACATTATTAGATGCCAATTTTCCAGCCTTGGAGAGACGCTGGTGGCGAGGAGCTGAGCTAATGCTGGACGCAGGGGCGGACGCCACAGCCACGGATTCTGAGCACAATAAGCGTCCAGCCACATTCTTTGCTCGGGTGCGCGCAGCTTTTGTTTCAGTGAAATATATACGTCCCAATTTGCGGTTGCAAAATGAACTGAACACGATTATTTTTGAAATTTTAGTGCACCCATATGAGTATGAATAATGTTTCATTTTGTGTTGTAGATTTTGTAATGTGAAGTTGCTACTAACTTCCTCGTTTGTATTTGGCCTTCCACAGAACTTAACAGTCATTACTTCTATATCAAATTCTCAATTAATTGCCTATATTTCTTTCATTGCTGGGATCTTCTTAAAATCGTTTCCTATACGATTTGCATCTGTGATTGTAATTCAGATGCTAAGGAAACAATGTCAACTTTGTTATGAGCTTAGTTGACCTTAAGCATTTTATTTGGAATATTTTTCTATTTTCAGGATAATGTCGAAATACTGATGAAACTTTTGAGTGGAGGATGTGACTGCCCTGACCTCTATGATTGGATAATTAGTAGAAGTCTCACAGATGCCCAGTTGAAGACCATATTCCCGCACATATTGTCTCACCCTGGGATTAATAAGTGAGTAGTATAGCTGCGTAAGATCCAACAACACCAGCTTATGTGAATATTTTGAATTACTCAATACTCAAGTATTTTGATTAGCAAGAATTAAGTCCATATTCCGAATGAAATAAAATTTTTAACAATAAAATGCAACGTTGGAATTTATTTTCCCTAACTGGTTCTATTTCTGGTACCTAGGCTGGATGTTCTGCGTGGTGCTGTCTGGGTATCATACCACGAGAGCGCTGTGTACATTCTGGAGCATTGCGAGTTTTGCACGATGTATCAATATACGCACATAATAAGTGATATCTTAAAACTTAACAATGGAATCAACTGGGCGGACAAGAACAAGTAAGCGTTGTTAAATAGATGATCCTGCATCTACTTAATCCAAAGTTTCCTTGTTGGCATTTTCTGTGTTTGCATAAAGGCAATTAATTCTGTTGAGAAATCCTGCATTTAGAATTAATTCATAGAAACTTGTTTATTTCAAGGTGTGTTATTCCTTTGATAGTTAAAACGACATAATGAAAGACTCCAGCCATGCTTGAAATTTCTGCAAATGCTAACATTTGAGTGAAAAGTCTAAATTTGTCATCAGGTACCTAATGGAAGTTGATTTCTGGCAAAATATTCTTAAAGCATTACTGATCTAGTAGTTGTGGTCTGAAAATGATTGAAGTTCTAATCCGCTTCATCTTTGATTCAATTTATGAGTTCAAACAAAAATATTTTTCTCTTCAGGTATATAACTGCATTAATGAAGAACATCTTCATGAGTAAATTGGACAAGAACGACTTGCTGACCTCACTTTTCTTGCAATGCGCCAGGTCAGTTCCTGTAAAAGTTACACTTAATTATCCAATACTGAAATTTACGATTAAATTTATCAGGGTCAAAGTCTTTCTTGACATTGTTGTTGATTTTAACTGAAATAATTTTGAAGCCAGGTACTTGTCTTTTACTTCGTCCTAGATTGTTAAAGCAGATGCAAGCTGGAAGGATAGTTGAATTTATCATGCCCTTAGGTGCTGCTGGATGAATAAAGTCGAAGACTGTTGCGGTTCGTGCGACGTCAATGTCGAACAAATCTGGATCAATTTGGAACATATTCTTAGACTAGCCGAGCACAATGGTCTACCCATCGAAAAGTGGAGGCTAAGCGGAAGACTGCCTATAACACAATGGTAAGTGTGATTAGTAAGTAAGCATTTGCTGACAATTTAATCTCTAGCTATCAATTATTTTTTAAAATTAGCATTTGAAAAATAGCTAAATAGATCTACTTGTAGGCTAAGCGAACTAAGTAAAAAAATATGGAAATTAATTGGAATCAGGATGTAAGTATAACAGAAGATTCAAATAAATAAAAATTTGTATTCAATTGATGAATGTCAATATTTTGTTTAGACAATTCAACACTTTGACTTCTACTCCCAAAATATACTGCTTAGCTGGGATGCCGCTCGTTCAAACTTGAATAATTTTAGTTAAGGACATGACAGCGAGATGGAAGATGGTGCGCCGTTTTTGTCTCGGTGAGTGTACTCCATTCTTGTCTCGGTGAGTGTACTCCGTTCATGTCTCGGTTAGTGTACTCCGTTCTTGTCATGGTGAGTGTACTTCGTTCTTGTCTCGGTGAGTACTCCGTTCTTGTCTCGGTTATTGGACTTCGTTCTTGTCTCGGTGAGTGTACTCCGTTCTTGTCTCGGTGAGTGTACTGCGTTCTTGTCTCGGTGAGTGTACTCCGTTCTTGTCTCGGTGAGTGTACTGCGTTTTTGCCTCATTCAGACAAAAAATCGTGAGCCCTTAATGGTACAATTCGCCTGGAACGGTAACAGATATCTTTCTGGGCATCGTGCATCGTGTAAGTGGTACACGGCATTTATCATAAGACTGCAATTAAAATATGCATCACATAATATTCACGCTGAATTAACATAGTTGTCTGGGCAAATGTAATGGGAATGTTACTGCGATACTCAAGCTACAAATAATTCTGGAATAAATTGCTGATAAATAGTAATTTTATAAATCATATCAGATGTCTTACAATACTGCACAAAAACGGCGCATGAAGTGGTACTGACAACTGTTCAAGCTGTATAGGCAAAAACTGCTGTTGTAAATGTAGGGAGCTATACGATCAGTTCTATAGTCAACAAATTCAATCTATCTATGGATATAGTCAATCTATCTATGGATGCAAAAATATAAATTATTAGTTGCATCGACTTATAGGAAATAGTTGTGGAAAGCTGCTGCATGTTAGTGGCCAGTACTGCCCAATTCCCCCGTCACCTTCCCGTGAAGTTAAGTGCCTAGAGCCATAGACGCCGCAAGTCCGCAGCCAATGCTCCTGCCTGTACATATCATGTACACCACACCCCAGTATGCGCCTACCTCCACACTTACCCCGACTCTCCAGTCTCCATCCAAACAAACGTAACCGGACTTAATATGACCTCATTGGCTGCAAAAAGGTGGAGATTTGGGGTAAGTTTGCTGGTAGTGCCTGGGATGTAACTTCCATGAAGACTACATAGACTGGAGAAGTGGCTGTGGACTTACGGCGCTATGGCTTCAAGCATTGCCGGAATTGGTGTGGAATGCGTTTTTTTGTGTTGTTGACTTCGTAGCTTTGAGAATGAGTTTAGCTGTGCGTGTTCAGGCTGAACGTTGACTCCAGGGCTAGTTTAAGAGTTAAATGTGTGGTCAACGGCCAGCCGATCACACGTGAAAAGTTGTATTTTTACCTTTCGTATGTGCTATTAAGGGAAAGAAACTACAGAAAGTAGAGCTTTTCTGGAAACCCAAGAGAACTTGCTGACAATCTTTGCCAGACTATTTACTCCAGCCGTTCTCGTCCGATGATCACCTGAATTGTTTGAAATATCGTAAATCTTATTATTATAATGATACTCCTGTGATGATACGATATTGCGTGAGGACTAGTCTTTCGGGGAGATGCCCTATTGAAAAAGTTACATATTTTAGAAATCTCGTTGTGCTACTTATTAATTATGTATTTTCTTATTATCTAAACATACTGGGCAGGGAGTGGTTGGGAATAGATCATAACGTCCTCAACCTTGTGCTGTACGAGACGACTTTGTGTTCGGTTCCTCTCGTCTTGAAGCTCCTGCCACTGATGAAACAGGACGGTGAGTGTTGCATTTGGGAGGGAGCATTGGGTTGATTTTCTACGCTTCTATTTCTGGCGTATACGGTCTTTTGGCAGGGAGTAAATAATGAATGTTATCAGCTGATAGAAAGCAAGACTAGGTACTTGTAATGTATGATGTCAACATTATTCTCGAGAAGAATTTAAAAGCAAATGAAGCTTCTAGTAAATTCACCATATGTTCCTGAAAACGTTTGAGAGACCAGCATCAGCAGTTAAAAGAACTTAAAAAGAGGAAATACATGTAGAATTAACAGTGAAAATACAAATATACACGAAAAAGATCAAAACTTTTATGACGAGACATCGACAAAGCAACATAAAGACCTAACGATTTACATTTTCAAGGGGGATAGGAACTGTACGTGTTGTTGAGTCAAGACGCTTCTGCTGCAGAAAAATCAACATTCAGATTTTGTGAATGTTAATTTGCATGTTTTAATGGTGAATGATTTCAAAATTGGTTCCGTCTTCAGATAGCAGGACGTTGTTCCTGCCCAGATGCTGTCTAACCTGGCCTATTAATAAAGTTGTGTGCTCTGCGCATCAGCATACGTCGGAATGACGTCGTCTACACACGTGTTCCTGAGCATCGCGGTAGCAGCTTTCGTTCGAACATTTTCCATGCCTTCTCACTTGGCTGCGCGCTTTTATGCTGAACAGTGTGACGTGACTGTGTCTGAGAGTGTAACAGGTTAAGATTTTGTAGTGGACGCTGCGATATAGAATCGTAATTAGTATGACCTGAGGATGGTTCGGTTGTAGCTGGATCCGAGGACATAGAGGGACAGCGTAAACGATTATATAATATACTTTTAGGATTATAGTTCGGCTTTCATTTTAGGATAATCAGTTAATAAGTTTATAAGTTGGAGCTTTAACACAGATGTCTTCGGCGTCCAGTTGAAGTAGGGATAAGTCTAGAGTGTATCTTCTACTCTGACATTAATTTAGTTACTGTCCTGATTTGTTAAGGACAGGAGTATGGGCGTATACACGACGGTTCTCGGCCCAAGACTGGCGTTTCCGCGTCTAGGCAGAGCTCATATAGCTACGCTAATTGACGTCACCAAGGGCGTGACTTGATAAACAGGAAAGGCTAATACAAGGAAATGCTCATAAACATATCGCATGTGAAGGATCTTATCTTCCAACAAGGAAGACATCAATCAGGAAATATCAAGGGACGAATGGTATCAACATTGTCATCTTACAAGAGCGATTTAGAGATACTCGGTGGCACTAGTGGTGGCCGATCCAAGGATTTTACAATCACTGCATATTTTTAAAGGAAACCTTGTCTTAATAACGCTTATAGTTCTTATTCTCTTGAAATTGTAACTCGATGAGTTTTTTTGTCGTTTTTCTCGTCACGTAGGTTCATTTTGTGGATATTTGGATTTCTGCTGATGATATTACTTAATATTCTCTTAAGTTTTACCCCTCAGGGGGGACTTCTGACGGGTGTCTATGCTCGTCAAAGTCCTATGGGATTTCGCGCTCCTAGGGGGATTGTTCCTGAGCGCCCCACCGTTGAGCTCGCGGTGTCTGACTGTAGGTCTCAGTTGTGGGGTTAAGTTATTATGTAGGTAGGATTCCTTAGATTTCCCTTCTCTGTCTCTCGTGCGGGCTGCCGACGTCCCGTGTAAGCGACCTCTTGTTCTAGTGTCTTCGTTTCTGTTGCTTTTCACCTGTCCCTCCTTGTCACTTCGTCTCTTTGAGATGCTAACGCTGCTTCTTTCGAGCCAGCTTCAGCGGGCTGGACAATTGAGACCTTCCGCCCCTTGTGGGCGATGAATAATTGAGACCTTCCACCTCTATGGTGATGTTCATCTTGACTTTCGGTGCGAGATAGCTAAATAGCTGAAGCGCTAGTAAACATTTGGCCACTAAACTAACTAACTAACTCTTAAGTTTTATTTTTTTGAACTGCTCATGAAACTGGTCTCCGGAATGTTTTCATTAATATTTGGTGAATTTACTTGGCGATTACTCTAGGTGAACTTACTATTTTAGCTGACTGATTATATGAATACGTATTTGCTCTCAAGAACTCTCGAGACACGTGCGTATTAACACTTTCCAGGTTGCCGGCTGACAGTGTCATCTGCGGCAGCATTCTTATGTAGTCGATGCATACGTCGCCTAAGCCTAAGCCTTCAAAAAACTGACGTTGATATCCAAGCTATTGTGCACTCGCCGGAGTCACCGTATCGAGTTCTGTTATCAGAGCTGACCAGGAACTGCTGTGAAGAGGGACGGTGCTGGTTCAGGTGGGTTCGTTTAGATGAAAGTGTCTGCAATGCAATAAATCATTTGATGCGTGGTAGCTTCACAGCTGATGCATATGTGAACATCTATATTACCACAATACATAGATGCTCTTCACATTCGTGTTTTAGCCTCATGCTCTGACCGTCATCACATTATTTTCATTTGTGTGCCCCAGGTCGCCCATGATGACGGGTTTGTGTAGGCGTGGCATTGAATTTGGATGTCATTTCCGTGTGCTTATGCTGCTCCATCTCGGCGTGCACGAATTATTCCTGAAGTGAGTTTCTCAGCCAATTACTGATTCACAATTATGGAGCTTGTTGAATTAATACTAATATAGACCAATGAGTTCAAAATTTCTATGATGTTAAAAGTGAATTCCTCTGTCTCCTGGAATATCTACAAAAGGATTCGACAAGAGAAAATATCCTGGAATATCGAGACAGAAATTACAAGGGCGCCTGCTGGAAGTAGGCGGCTCGTGTTCTCTATTGTTCACCGTTATGCTCCGAGGTGGAAGCTTCGGACTCGATGCCGTGACGAAGTGAGGCGGCCGTGGAAATATCGCAATCGTCCAGAAAACGTAGTGGCCAGTAAATTAAATCAAATGGGTACGTTTAAACCAGTAGTTTAAATCAAATGAGTACGTTTAAATCAAAGAGTGAAGCAGTACTTACGGTTAATTGACCTTCGGCGTACCCAATTTGTACCTTAATCGGAGTTGCCCAATTTAGGAGGCTGAATGCAGCAAATACAAACGTTCTAATCATAAGCGCTCGATATTATTATTATTTAATAGAGGTCAATTAGCTAAGCATTAATTAACATTGAATTTTGTTGGTGTATAGCGCCGCTGCGGTCGCTGAAGGAGCTGTGTCGCCTCTCCATCCGCGCCTCCCTCGGCCACTGCAGGATTGAAGAGAAGACGGAAGGCTTGCGAGACGTGTTGCCAGCTCCTCTTAGAGAATACCTTTACTTCCGCCACGACTTCCTCATCTTCCCGAGGATTACTCAACTTCCCATTTAATGCCTGTTACCGTTGATAACAACTCAACTTGCCTGGTCCCGTTGATACGGTGCCATGTCTTGCCTGGGACCGTTGATACGGTGACTGGTCTTGCCTGGGACCGTTGATACGGTGACTCGTATTGCCTGGGACCGTTGATACGGTGACTCGTCTTGCCTTGGACCATTGATACGGTGACTGGTCTTGCCTGGGACCGTTGATACGGTGACTGGTCTTGCCTGGGACCGTTGATACGGTGACTCGTATTGCCTGGGACCGTTGATAGGGTGACTCGTGTTGCCTGGGACCGTTGATACGGTGCCTTGTCTTGCCTGGGACCGTTGATACGGTGACTGGTCTTGCCTGGGACCGTTGATACGGTGACTTTATAGTTTGTCGAGTTGAAATTATGTTAGATATTTTGGTAGTTCGATATTTAATTGTGAGCTCTAAATTTTCGAGTGCAGTGCGTTTTCGTAGCTAGTTTACCGCCCGTAGCTCTTATTTCGAGTCGAAATCGATTTTAACGATGACAAAAATTTAACGTTGCAAGCGAAAATAATTGATTCGATGGTCAACTTGTGGGGAGCTTAAAGATTTGAGTAAAATAAAGGAAATAATTATTGTAAATCCTTTTGTATCCTTGACGACTGACCAAATATTGTATCAAGATCTTTTGGAGTCGGTGGCTTTTTATATCCTGGGATCGTTCATACGGTGCATATCAAGTGATGATGATTCACTGATGGAACGTTGAACCCAAAATTCATCACTAAACGTATCAAAATTTTAATTTGACTCCTAATTGAACATTCAGGTGAATGGAACAAAACGAGGGCCTATCTATCGTCAACGGAGCTCCAAAGAGACAATAAAGATAACATTCCCAAATCACAGTATTTAGCTTGGTATCTTTAAATGGAAATTTTTCGATTCTAATTACTTCAACGACACAAATTTTTCTTTTACGCTTCGGAAGATGTTTTGTAGGGCTACGTCGACGGCTACGCTGATGCGACTACGTCGTTAACTGCCTAGGGCACGTCTTTGCTACTGAGGCCCAGCCTCCCAGGAGCAATAGATCTAACGCTCATCTGTCCTCAGTTGGGGGAGCTGATGTGAGATTATTTTGGTGACAATAGTGGGACAGAGACGGACGTCCAGGGATTGTGCTCTAAGACATGTTAAGGATTCCTTGTCAGACGGATGTGTGATTTAGACTTGTTCTTGTGGTGGTATTGATGCCAAGTGATTTCTTTTTCTGGATTGTTTTAAGGCTTACATTTCAAATATATTTTTCACGTTTTTTTCTTGTGATTTGACGTAAACAGCGCAACAAATTTACTATCTATGGGTGTCCGCATATTTTTCTTGTCCAAGTTTAAATTTCTGAAAATATGAATCGTTAGATTTCTAGTCACTGCAGCCCAATCGCAGATGTTCCGTAGTAAGTGCTTCTCACAACTGAGCGCGATATTATAGGCATGTTCGCATTGTTTAGCAGACAAGTTCTGTTAAAGAAAGCGTTCAGTGCTTTGCCCTGGCGCTCTGAGCAGCGGCCGTTAACGCAACATACTCGAGCTTCCTAAACAAAGCATTGATCCTGCCAGAAAAGAAGGGGAGATAAAACAACAGGAATGGTTGAAAGTACGTCGTTCCGTTCAGTACTTAGCACAGATTGTCATGCATCTAGAAGGATTTTGGAAAACCTGCTCAAAAGGAATTATAAGTAAGCTTCTTATGACGCTTACAATTAAGAGGAGTCTTGTCACGTTCCAGACGCTAACCAAGTTGACAAATTCACACCACAATAATATTATAGAATATTTATTGCATGAATACGAGCTACTCTAGGAATAAGTGGTTAAAAATAGTTAATGAATACATATTTCTGTACAGCTTTGAAAAACGTCAATTCTTTCAACTGAACGGAATTTACTTTGGCGGAAACTACAGGTATATCAGGTACGAGAAACTTGCTCTACATAGGAGTAAGGAGGGCGTTATTTACTGTAGCGTTTACATAGTTTTTGGTACTTCGACTTTCTTCGCTCCTTTATTGAAACAAACAAAAACAAAAGTTTACTAAAACAAAGACAAATAATTGATAATATTATAAATTAAATTATAATAATTAGAATTTACTTCACCATATTCGTGCAAACAAATTTTGAAATTGTTCAAATGTTCAGCATCAAGTGACCATAATCAACAGTTCAAAAATACTTAACAGTTTCGAGATTGGCAAGTCAATAGGCTTCGCATTAAAACACTTTTCATAACTGACAGTGGTTATTGACATGACTGACATAACTGACTTTTCGACCTTAAATAGGTCGAAATTTATAATCTTTAAAGTTAAAGTACCAAAAACTATTTCAACGCTCCACAATACCAAGTATCCAACTGACTTCGACCTTGGACAGTTATCAGAGAATAACAGAAAAGATTCAAGTCATAAAAATACACGTGAAGATGGTTGAACAGCTGTAAATATTTCCCACGAATAAATTGCTTCTGAAAGCAAGTAAATGATAACCCCTAAAATTTTGCTGTAATCATTCGATCTTCCAAATAATAGTCAAAGGATGAATCCTCAAAATTCCTGGAATAAGTAAATGCAATTAATTAGAACGCATTCACTAATTGTTTCAAAAATAAACCTCAAATCTGGCAGCAGTTTATGGAAGGTAAGATTGATTAGGACGACAAAACGGTCACTGCCCAACCCTGACGCTTTATGAGCGTCTAGCAGATGTAGAATGAGATACGCGAAGCCATAAGGTTATAGTATAACGGACATGAGATTATCGAAGGTGGCCTCATCGACGAGCGCCTCGGTGAGAGTGACGTTGCACGCGACGTCGCCCTCAGTTGACGTCGTCTCGCTCTGAGCGCCCCACTTCTGCAGCTCAGCCTCGGTGGGTAAGGCAAATATCTTGGCCATGAAGTTGTAGGCGTGGCGGCTGTGGCGGTGCAGTCCCAGGCTTATGTTATGCGACGCGACCAGCGCCGCAGGCCTGGCGACAGCGACGAGTTCACCGCCTGCGCCTCAATGAAGCTCAGCTGGTGCGGTAGAACGTACTTCCCGATCTAAAGGATGTCTCTTATACACATCT